GCTGTTGCTTTTAGTAGTGCATTGAGTGTGTCCTCGTTGTCGCTTTGTAGTATGCCTTGTGTTCTTCCGCATTCAAAGATGAACTTGTAGGTTGTTGATCATGTAGTCCATCATTGATGGTTTGTCCGGAACCAATACCGCCATGCACAGTTGTGTAGTGACATCAACTGCTGTTAAGACTGGTATGGTCTTCGGATCTTGTTGTGGTTTGATGTAGGCAAAATCCACTTGGATGATGGGTTGTCGTGATTGTTGTTTCTTGTAGTTGTCCTGGCGTCATTGGCGTCCTTTGCCTTGCACGCAAATTGGACACCAATTTCTGTATGGTAGGTGTGTCAAGTTGTGCTCTGCTATTTGTTGTGGAGTTGGTTGTTGAGGTTGTCGGAGTCCTCTTGCTTTGTGTGCTTCGTGATGTTCGTGGTATTGCTCTTCGTCGTAGTCCTCTTGGAGGTATTCGTAGTCTTTCTTGATGGTGAACCTTGTTGTGCCTTTCCATTGGAATGGTAGTGCGGCATTGCCCGTGACTGTCCAGTCATCTTTGCGTTGTGAGACTTCGCCGAAGCTGTTGTTTGAGATTGTAGTTCGGAAGGGTTCGAGAGTGTTGATTGATGGGTGTCCTGGTCCATCTGTAGGTGTGAACAATGTGGTTCGTAGTGTGACGTGATGTCTTATCCAGTGTTCACCTTGTCTTTCCCAGTAGTCTTGGTTGTCTTCTTGTGCCGTTGGTGCTGTATGTATCGTTGGTTTTGCTTGCGTAGTGTCCAATTCTATGGATGGAGCTGCTTTGGGTCTCCATACCTTTGGTGGAGTTCGTAGTTGTAGTTTTGGTTTTGTCGTAGGTGTTTCTGTTGTAGGTTGTGGTGCTGAGCTTTGTCGTGGTGGTGTTGTGCCTATGTGTAGATGTGACTTTTCTTCGGAATCTGGTTCTCCAGTCCAGTTATCACCTTCAAGTCTTCTTTGTAGTTCCTGTTTGGAAAGTTGTTTGGTGTTCTCTTGTAGTTGCTCTTGTTCTTGCCCTTGTCTATTGATGATGGTTAGTCGCCAATCATCTAGTTGTTCTTCTGGTATTGGGCATCCGTTGTTGTGTGGTGTGAACAGTGCTTTGCGTGGTCGTTTGTGGACTCGGATGGCGTAGTCACCATCGAGTTTCCAGTAGTCAGTGTTTCCACCAAGGATTCGTCTTAGTCCTTGGTCTGTGTGAGTTAGTGGTGCAATTTTGTTCTTGTCGTTGTTGTTGTTTTGTCTCATGCGTAGGCTGGATTACAGCAATGGATTTTCCATTGTCTGTAGTCATTGGGTAGATGTCGTGTCCTGTAGGTATGTTGCTCTTTTCTGCTCGTAGGTAGAAAAGTCCTGAGTGTCGAATAAGCTGTGCTTGCTGTCCATGTGAGATAGTGCAGTGTCTCGGGTTGAAGTCCAGTCCATATCCTCTATCAAGTAGTCTTGATGCACTGAGGATGGGGTACTTCACATCACAGACGTAGTAGGGTATCATGATCCTGAGGTTGTCCTGCTCGTAGGGAACGTACTTGATGCCGTAGACGGGGATCTTCTTGTTGGTCACAGTGTAGAGTTGCGGAACTGATTCTCCACAAGGTCGTAGTGGAAGATCCGGTGCGTAGTCCTTTGGGCAAACATGTGTAGACGCTCCTGAGTCAATCAGGAAGTGGTTAGGACTTGAAGTTGGAGTACATAATGTAGTGAGTGATGTTGTTGTCAAGTTTTCCTCGTTTCTGTTGTTGTGTTGCTGCTGCAATGTTGAGGTGTAGTTGAGGTCTGTCCTCTTGTAGGTACTGTTGATAATTGGTGCTGTGGTCATTCCATGATGTTGTATGAGTTGCTCTTTTCCCAAGTAGTGATTTGGGTTTGTGCTTACATTGTAGCGGTCTTCCTTGTCTGATGTGTCCTATGGTGAGGTGCGACTCGTTGATGCCTCCGATGTAGTTTGCTTCACCTTCATGACTGTAGTCATTCCAGTCCCAGCTGTTGTCGTTCCAGTCGTAGTCGTTCCAACTCTCCTCCATGTAGTTCACATCATGTCCATGTCCTTCTTCTCCTTCGTAGTACCAATCCGAAGTGTCGTGCATGTCTTGAGGTAGTTCCTCATTGTTGTCCTGAGTTTCTTGTTCTTGCTCAGGATGTTGTAGTTCTTCTCCTTCTCCGATGTGCCAAACCGGCACTCTGCAATCCTGCGCCCAATGGCCAGGTTTGCCACATCTGTGGCATGTCATGTAGTTGCTGTTTCCTTTTGTTTTTGATTTGCCGTAGTTGCTTTGGCCTTTGTAGCCTTTGCTTGATCCGTAGCCTTTGGATCCGTAGCCTTTTCCTTTTCCTTTGTTGTAGCCATTCTTGTTGTATCCTCCTTTGTTACCTTTGTCAAATCCTTTGTAGTGGCCTTTGCTTCTGTACTTGCCTTTTCCTTTGTTTCCTTTGTAGGATCCTTTGCCTCCATATTTGCTTTTGCCTTTGTAGTTTCTTCCTTTCCTCCAAATGTTGTCCACGTCCATGGGTGCTGTTCCACCATTGTAGCTTGTGCCAACCGCTGAGCTCGCTCTTGAGAATGCAGATATGGTCTTGTAGTAGTCCAGGATGACAACTCTGATCTCGTTGTAGTTCGTGATCTGTCCAGCACGTAGTTGGAGATGTTGTTGAAGTGCTCCTTTGGTCTTGTTGAGTAGTATTGCAATCTTCACTCCATCTGGTAGTGCTGTGCCGTTGTCTTTCTCGTAGCGGTTGATGTCATACTCCCACTGTAGGAATTGTTCTTCAAATTGTGCTTCATTGAATGTAGGTTCCAGTAGTTTGGTGAGGTAGCCAACACTGCGTGTTCCTACTGGTAGGCTGAACCTGTTGTGCAAAAGCCGTAGTGTTTCACATCCATTGGCATTGTAGCGGTTTTGTCTGACCACTGTAGCTGCTGCACCTTGGCAGATGTTGATGAGGATGTAGTGTAGATCTCGTGAGAGGTCTACTGCTTTTGCTGCCTGTGTAGGGTCGCGTATGTGGGCTCTGATGTCTGCATCTTCAATTTGTCTTGTAGCTGCTTGTGCTAGTTGTAGTACCATGTCGAAGTCTCGGTCGATGAGTCCGAGGTATGCTTGTAGTTTGAACAGCCACTCTTCGTACTGTGAGTAGTCACCAGTGAAGAACGGTGGTGGCAGTTTGTATTTGTGTAGCCTTTGGACGTCTTCCTGCTCCTGTGTTGTTCCTGTAGTTGTGGCTCCTATTGTCTCCTCTGCTGTGGGCCCGTTGTCTGCTCCTGTAGTTGGTTGTGCTGATGCTGCTGCTGGTTCTCCTGACATGTCGTAGTAGTTGGGCATGTTGTCGCCTGTGCAGTTGCAGTACTTACTGCTGTTACTGGAGCTCCACTATGTTTAGGATCTCAGCTCCGCTACCACGTTAAAATACGTTGGTACTTTACTGCAAGTGCAAGTGTTGTTTCTGTTGTCACAAACACAAGTGTAGTTAGCCAGCATGCACTCTTTTCCTGGTAGACTCAAGGCCTGCAGTCGGGTAGTGTACATCATGCATGCACAAGTGACAAGTAGTGCAACATGATATTTGACATCTCTCTCTCTCTCTCCTTGTGTGTGTGTGTTTCGCTCTCTCTTTTTCTGTCTCTCTCCCTCTCTCTGTCTCGCCCTCTGTCTCTCTGTGTCTCTCTGTGTGTGTTTGTGCCTCTCTGCTGCGTGTGTATGTGTCTCTCTGTTTGGCTACAGTTGTCTCTGTGCGCGTGTCTCCCTCTCCCTCCGACGCTGTCTCTCTTGCTCTCTCTCTCTCTCTCTCTCTCTCTCTCTTGTCTCTTCTCTCTCTTCTCTCTCTCTCTCTCTCTCTCTCTCTCTCTCTCTCTCTCTCTCTCTCTCTCTCTCTCTCTCTCTCTCTCTTTCTCTGACACTCTGAACATCAAGGACCAACTTGTCGGCAAGTGGGAAGTTAGTCCTGCTGTTTTTCTCGGCGCACATTGTTGTATTCACCGCATGCTGCGGTTGCTGCGTCTGTCGCATTGTCAATTTCTCGTCGAGTCGCGGCTGTTAGTGCATTCAGAAATGTCTGATCGTTGACGCCTTTCTTGATGTATATCCATGCACCCATGACTCGCTTAGCAACGATCTCGAAACGTCGGAGGAATAATCGGGGTGATCGTGGACTGGTTGAAGGCTGGCTGCTGAGCCACTGCACAAGTGGCTCCCAGCCAATGCGGGTTCTGAGATGTCATCATCGTCATTTTTGCATCTTGCCGAAGTAGACTGTTGGCAAATATTATCAGTTGCTTCTGCGATCGGAAACCAGTGCGGGGATTCGGAAGCCAACCCGGGCCACTTTGTAGCGCAGATAGGGCTCAGTCAGAATGACAAGGCGCGGAGGCTGATGTCTCTTTATTGCTTCGCTGCTATGTGGGCGAAGCCACTGCGAAACGCAGAAGCAAAGATACCAAGCTGTGACATTCCCACGCAGTACGAAGTTTGACGCAAGGGATTCCTACATTGCTGTGAGGGTCAACCATGTACAGTTCAAGTAACAGCCCCCTCACCCCACCCTCCTAGCCAAAAAGAGCTTAGCGTGTTTTGACAAATTGGTAGACCCCTTTGAGAGGGACTGCTGACTTGGCTTAAGCAAAGGCATTTTTGAACCAGGGGTAGCCCACCTTCATGGGAAGCGCACGTGATCTCATGTTTGTAACATTGGGCAAAAAGTAGCTGGTTCTCGGCGCCACCCTCTCCACTCAGCTTGCGCTTGCGATTTGCCCGGCGCTAGCTTCTGTCTGTTGAGCCACGGTTGAAGGGAGTGTGCGCCAACGCAGTCGGATGGCCCTTTGCGGCAACCAGTGACGTTGCTGTTGCTTTCCTGTTGGGTTTTCGCCTGTTGTGTTTCCGGCAGGTTTCTCCCCGATTTTTTGCGGTTCCGGCTGATGACTCACGTAAACATCGCCCAAGCTTCAGATCAAAAAGAACCTTGTCGGGCAGAGGTGGGTCAGTTTCGTAATTCCGGCTCTTCGTGAGGTGCCCGACCTGAACGACGGGAAACAGTTGGCGGCAAGCGCTTGCAACGAGTTGCGGGAGTGCCAACGAGAGGCGCGGCCCAAGAATGAGCATGCCATGGAATTTTGAAGCTAGTTCTAATTGATTTGGCTCCCGACCCCAGACTCGTCACTTCTTCTTGCCAATCCGTAGATTTTGCTTCATGCGTCCCCTAGATGGATTTGATTTTTGGGCTGTGGCTGGTTAGAAAGCCTTGCCTTTTCACGGCAGGGAACCCGTGCAGGCGCACTCACTCACTCACTCACTCACTCACTCCCTCGCTCACTCACTCACTCACTCACTCACTCACTCACTCACTCACTCACTCACTCACTCACTCACTCACTCACTCACTCACTCACTCACTCACTCACTCACTCACTCACTCACTCACTCACTCACTCACTCACTCACTCACTCACTCACTCACTCACTCACTCACTCACTCACTCACTCACTCACTCAACTCACTGGCTCGCACACTTCACACTCCATACTCCATACTCCACAGTGCACACTCCACTCTGCTCCATGCACTCACTGCACGCACTACTACTCCCTACCCAACCCACTCCCTCCGCACTCCACCGCTACCGCTCCACACACTCACTGCTTCCATCTAATCGCCAAGCGCCGCGCGCGCCCCATGTACTCCACACTCCACTCGCTCCACTGCCCCACCACAGAGTTCGCTACAGCCACACACAAGACTTGCTGCTGTGCTGTGTCAAGACCGTGTGCTGGCTACACTGCAGGGGCCTTACCCGTCCCAGTATCTGTCGTGAATTCCCGAGCCATGCGTGCGCTACGGTTGTGCTAGGCCCCAAACATGTTTTTGTCAGGGAGCTCGGCTGCGCGTGTGACAGGCAGAGAGAGAGAGAGAGAGGTTGCTGCGCAACGCTTGGCTCAGTGGCAGGCGCGACCTGTCGGCAGAAAAGCAACTTAGCCAAGAGCTACCTTCATCCTGCGTTGCCTTACGGGCCACGGCGTGTTTGTCGAAAAAGGCGTTCAGAGTTGGCGGTGGAGTGGATACCGGCGATGGCAAGCTGGGTGGTCCAGAGCATCACGAGCGGACGAGGATACTCCGGGTCAGCCGGGATGCTTTCACGAACCTTGGCAAGGGTCACGGTGGTTTGCGGCGCAGGTCGTCACGCCGGAGAAGGCATTGAAACAGCAGACGCAGAAGCTGGGCGCAGATGGAGAGCGATATGATTTCATCACCTTCGAAGGAGGTGCGGGCTTTGCTGCGGTGGTCAGTGGTCTAGCTCAGCTGTGTTTGGCTTTTAGGCCACTTGTCCAATGAGAGATTGGCCAGCATGCTTGGCTCTTGGGTGGTGGCTTAGATTTGTTGGAAGGAGCGAGGCGTCTTCACTGTCAAGTCCCCCAGGTGTCGTACTAGAAGCCGAGCAACTTCAACCAGAAGCTGTCCGGGGATTGCTTCCACGTGTGGAACATCAAGGAGGTGCGCTACACCGCGGTCCACTTCATCGACAAACCACGGATTACCAGGTTGGCGAACTCATGTTTGACCCCATGTTGGAGTGGACGGCAAGGGCTCCACAAGTCAAGTGGTGCGATGCGTTTGGCCCCTCAACTGCGGGGAATGACTTTATCTACTTGACGATGTGTGGGGGGCGCAGCACGATGTGATCCCGCATCAGGCCGGAGGAGACGGCGTGGGCCGCAGTGTCCAGCAAGAATCGCGGCCGGAGCAATCCTCTGGCAGCATCTTTGTTGGCTCAGATCGCTTCGGGGAAGATGAAGTTCAAGGCCAACGAAGAGTTGCTCCAGAACAAGGCTTTGAGGCGGGCAGAACGAGTATGGGCTTTGGCGGTGAGGCCTCTCATTGGCTCAAGGTCGAGACCGCCTCGGATCGAGGGTCTTCGAGAAGGCACGGCGCCGTCGAGAAAGGGATTGGCGACAAGGATCCAGGATGACACATCTTGGACGGGACCCGCTCCGGTCTGCGTGGAGCAGGATCAAAAGTTGCACGCAAGGTATGGGTGCGACTGCGAACAAAGCTGAAGTCTCACCTGTTGGAAAAGATCAGTGCGGACGAGAGTTCACCACCAACGCGCTCCAAAATGCGCAAGAGGAGCTCGACAAGTGGAGAAGGCAGAATTGTGGGCGAGATGGGTCATCTGGATTTGGAAGCAGGGACCTATTCGACGATGGCGCCAACACCATGGCACGCAACTTGCCGTCATTGTTGAAGCATCTGAACATCCCCGGCACCAAGGACAGCTGCTCCAAGGAGATCTCTTGCAACGTATTGCGGTATTCCATGTACCACAGCCGTGGACTCTCACGAAGCCCAAAGGCCCGCAGCTCCGTGCTGTTCGGCACCGAGCTTCTCCTTGATCAACTCGTTCACACACTCGGGGTAGCCCTGCGGCAACTTGACATAGACCTCTCGCTCAGCTGGAAGAGGCTTTTTCTGCAAGAATGCGCTGCTCACATCCTCATGGCGCACCGTCCGACCCATCAGCGTAGCGACAAAGTTCAGCAAGTTGTAGCTTATCAAACTTGCCTTTCCTTCTCCCAAGCCTGCCAATTGCTGGCAAGCGCCCTTGCCGTGCCGCCCAATTGACTTGTCCCAACATGGAGCCCAGCATCGTTCGCGCATGTCCATATAGATGATCGGCCATTAAGCTTATAAACCAGTTGGCGCGCCGCATCTCTGCCAGTGATGCAGCTCATGCACAGCGGTGTGACCTCAATGCTGGCACATCCGGACGTGCTGGAAGGGGAGGGCGCTGTGGCGGTCATCGAGGCAAAGAGCGTGAAGATCAGCCGGGTGGTGCGCTGTTTGATGAGCGCGGAGTTGAGCATGGTGCCGGCGGCTTTCGGCGGAATTGCTGAAGCCCACCTTCAAACTGGAAATGGCACGCAAGTTCGTGGAGGCACTACCTGGTCATCGATGCCAAGACGGGGTCCGACTTGCTCAACAGCGAGCGCCGCACGGCGGACAGGAAGATCCGCATCGACGCTGCGGTGTTGCGAGAAGTCTTGATGGAGAAGGGGACCCAGAACTTTCTGCGTTGTGTCCCAGGCAAGGAGATGGTGAGTGACAGCCTCACGAAGTGGTACGGCAACGGATTCCTGGAAAAGGTGATGGGCCAGGCAGATGGAGCTTGACGGACACGGAGGAGGCGAAGCTTTTGAGAGAGAGGCTGGCCGTTGCGCAGTTAGAGGAAAGTAGGCAGCCTGCCATTTGAGTACTGCTCGCATCCATCAAGGCACGCGGGAAGAACAAGGAGATCATCACCATCCATATCAAGAATTGGAGTATTCCACATCCATCCGAGAACAAGATTTCCTATACTATCCATCAATCCATGCGATCTCTAGCTACAGCAAGTACCAGAAGCTGTATCGCCAAGAGAATGATCAAATGACGTCGAATGGTGCAACGGCATTGCCACTTACTGGTTGCCTCGACAGCTTCAGACTATGATCGAACCTTTCCTGACTGTATGGTTACGTGAGTATTCGGCTGGGGAAAGACCGAAGAGCAACAAGAGCTCCGACCGAGAGTGCGACGCTGACTCGCAACAGCCGCTGATGGTACACATCCATAAGCGGTCCGGAGCCACGCAGAGAAACATTCAGAAGACAAAGGGCCATCACTGCAAGAAGAACACTTGGCACCAACGGGATCAGAAGAAGCACTATGACAAGGTCAGTGAGAATTACGGGCGGAAGTAGGTGTGGAACAGTGCACGACATGCATGCGCAGGCTAGTGCGAAATCCGAGACCTCATCGACTTATTGCGATACCAACCCCCTCGTCTACAAAACTATTTTACATGCGGCGAGGAAATCGATCGTTTCACAAAGGGCAAGCCTAGCCTCCGTTTTCAGCTGCCAGAAGAAAAATCCAATTGGGAATTCGTGCGCGCTCGCGGGCTTACAGTATTTACATATCTATTCCCAGAGACAGCCATTGTAATCAGGTGTACATCAACAGGATCCTAACTGAAATAGATCCAGGGCACACGAGCGCCGTCACCCTGCCCTCTCCCCCATGCCACGCCGCTCTGCTCCACCACGCAACTCCACTCCACACTGTCGCTCCGTTCCGGTCCTCTCCTCCACTCTCCTTTCTTAGTTTTCACTCTCCACCCCGCTCAGAGAGCTTGCAGACGGAGTACTTTTAGACTGATGATCTACAACATCTTGTGCGAGCGACTTGTTTGTCTGGGTCATGAAGACAATCGCCTGGTATTTTTTCGCCGAGAATGTCAAGGTAGAAAATGACCAAAGTCCACCTGATGTTTCTTGAGGCACACTGAAAAGAACGCTGTCTCCGCTTAAGATGATGTTTGCGGAGAATGTGACTGGGGCCGCTTTGAGCGGTGTTTGAAAAAAGAAGCGCAGTAGGGCTTGCTTTCGGGGACCCTTGGTTGTGAGGGTTGCGGTTTGGTTTGAGTTTGATTGGCGCGCGGAGGCTTTGATCCTTCAGGGGGGTTGTTGTTTAGGGTTCGGGTATTTTGGGTCAGGCCCTGGCAAAATCCTGTCAACAAGGAACCGATTTAAAGGTACACGTCTTCAGTCTTTAGATGCGCAAGCCCCCTTTGTATTTCTTATTGTTTGGGCCCTCAACAACGTGATTCTTGCAATCGCTGCAACAGTCGCTAGGTCAAGACAGAGGGGGGCAAGCTGGTGATCGACATCAGCAGGCTGGTGTCGAACAAGAAGATTGCAAACAAGAAGCTGGAGTTCACGTTCGATCTCCAATCCGGAGTCACCGTTGCTCAGCATCTGAAGCGCTGGAGCCCCACGCGTTCGGGTGTGTTGTTTGCACGGCTCCTTTGGGTTCCTGCAACAAAGCAAGGGGCGGTTTCTTTCAAGCTGAGTGACCAAACAAGTTGACAAAATACAGTCCACGGGGCCGAGGTTTACACCGCGAAGTCACACGAGCTAGCCTTGCACTGCGGCACGCCGTGGTTGAAGGATATGTTCGTGGCGACAAACCACCCGGAGCTGATCTATATTGATGTGAAGTGGCACAGGCGACCAACAGGGCTTGCCAGACTTGGGGGCAACCATCCATGGCGCGGAATCGCATTTTCGATCTTGGTGCCGCTGTTCGGGTTGCTGTCAGCGGAACCCGTAAGGCAGTTCTGCTCGTTCCCGAAAGCACCGCGAAGGGCTCCGGAAAACCGCCAGCCAACTCTCACCAGCGCACTTGCGCGAGCAAACTTGCACAGGCGCGCTAGCGCGAGCAAAGTTGCAGGGGTCTTGCACGGGCGTACTTGCACGAGCTCACTTGCGCAAGCACAAACGCGCACCAGTGTATTTGGTGAAATTTAGTGAAATTTAATGAAATTTAGTGAACCTTTGTGACAATTGGTTTTTCGAAAGAGATTCATACAATTTCACTAAAATTTCACTAAATTTCATTAATTTTCACTAAATTGGGCTTGCGAAATTTAGTGACATGTAGTGAAATTTAGTGAGTCTCTTTCCTCAAATTTCATTGAATTTCGGAAACTTTGCTAATTTCACTAAACTTCACTGAGTGTGACAAATTTTCACTAAATAGGGCTTGCAACATTTTAGTGAAATTTAATGAAATTTAGTGAAGTTTATTGCAGGTTAGTGATTTTTGCTTTTTCCTTTTGAAAAGACTGCAATCTTGAGCAAGCAGTTAGTGAACAAAACTAGACCACGGTTGGCCCGAAAGTTTTACATCGCAAGCGAGGTCGGCCCAACGCTGCGTTCTTTTTTCCTGGCCTGGCACACGCGCGGCCAACTTGATTAGCCCCGGCCTGGCACATGCGCAAGTTGCTCTGCGCAAGTTACTCTGCGCAAGTTGCTCTGGGCAAGGTGCTCTGCGCAAACTGGTCTGTGCAAGTTGGTCTGCGCAAGTTGCTCTGCGCAAGTTGCTCTGTGCAAGTTGCTCTGTGCAAGTTGCTCCGCGCAAGTTGCTCCGTGCAAGTTGGTCCCTGCAAGTGGCTCCCTGCAAGTTGCTCTGTGCAAATTACTCCGGCCAAGTTGCTCCCTGCAAGTTGTCCTGTGCAAGCTGCTCTGTGCAAACTGCTCTGTGCAAGTTGCTCCGCATAAATTGCTCTGCGCAAGTTGCTCTAGGCAAGGCGCTCTGCGCAAACTGGTGTGTGCAAGTTGCTCTGCGCAAGTTGCTCTGCGCAAACTGGTCTGTGCAACTTGCTCTGTGCAAGTTGCTCTGCGCAAGTTGCTCTATGCAAGTTGCTCCGTGCAGCTTGTGAAGCCCGCCCGCGGACCAGGGGGGAATCGAACCCGCGACCCGCCGTTCCCAGGAGCAGGCGTGCGAACCACGAGACAACTCCTGAGGACCAGCTCGAACAACATTTTGCACCTCAGAGGGTCGCGCGAGCCAAAACAAAATTGCAAAAAACAACCGAGTTGTTGCACCTCGACCACGCCGATCCCCGCAGAGGGTCGCGCGGGCCAAAACAAAATCGCAAAACACCTCGAGTTTTTGTACCTCGACCACGCCGATCCCGGCAGAGGGTCGCGCGGGCCAAAACAAAATCGCAAAAACAAACTCGAGTTTTTGCACCTCGACCACGCCGATCCCCGCAGAGGGTTGATTTTCGAAGAGTGTCGTCGGCACTACCCCGCCGCCCTAAGAAGAGATTTTCACTCCTCGCAAGTCAACTGCACCTGACAACTTGCACTTGACTCCTTGCACTTGCAAATTGCACTTGACTCCATGCGCTTGCAACTTGCACTTGACTCCTTGCACTTGACTCCTTGCGCTTGCAACTTGCACTGAACTCCGCGCACTTGCAACTTGCACTTGACTCCATGCACTTGGCTCCTTGCAACTTGCAATGACTCTCATGACTCCTTGCAACGACTCCTTGCAATGCACTCCTTGCAATGACTTCTTGCAATGACTGACTCCTTGCAATGACTTTCATGATGATGATTCCTTGCAATGACACCTTGTAATGACTCTCATGAGAACAACTCAAGTGAACCCAGCGGAACAACCCTTCACGATGCTTTCGGGAATAGTGAATGGAATTAGTGAAAATTAGTGAATTGGCACTTATGGAAATTGCGGGCGCTGCGTTGGGCAGACTTGGGGCCAATCGATTCGAGGGCTTCCCTTTAGCATATACACATTGTTGCGCTTTGCTTTGCTTAGCACAACTCACCTGGACCTAGTCACCTCGGCGTATGTCCATTCACTATTCCCCCATTCACTAATTTCATTTGCAAAACCGTGTTAATTCAATATTCCCATTTATTATTTCATTTGCTAATATTCACTAAATAATTATTTTGAGAGTAAAAACTGATGGGCGTTCGCTGCTTCGAGCCGTTCGCCGCGCGACCCTCTGCTTGAAGGGGCGCGTGCTTAGTTTGTGTTTGTTGGACTTCGCTGACATATACACACGGATATATTTTTGACATGTAACATGTTGGACATAGTTTTTCTTTTTATGTTGTTGAGCTGGCTTACTCTGATGCACATGTATGAAGGTAGTTGTATGTGTACTTACCTATGTAGACTAAGTACTTACCCACAGAAAAAAGCAGTTCTTGCTCAGCTAGGGAGACTTGCAATGCGAACCCGGCTTTCAAGCAAAATTCATCGCAGGGTTGCCAGCTGCGTGCTCGCTTGCAGGGCTTCCGCGTTGCCTTGTTGGCAAAAGGGAGAAAAGGTTCATGGGTCGCTGTGTACATGTCTTTGGCCGCGTGCTGCCATGCAGTCATGCATGACAAGCGCGGACCAACCGTTCCCAACCGCTGTCTGGCAAGGGCAACGTCACCCCGGGCCACTCGAAACGCTGATGGGTCGCTTGGTCACCTGAGTTCAAGGATAGCTGCCTTCATCAACCAGTTTGTTTGGCCCCGCCCAAAGATGCGCTGACCAAACGAGCACTGCGCATCACACTTGTCATCCGGGCAAATTTGCTTGGAGGAGTTTCGAAAGCCCTGCGAAAGATTCTGCGATTGAGATCCGTGCTGGACAGTGGAGCCCAACCAAAGGGGCGAGGGTCTTGTCTCAGAGGCCTTGGAGCCCACGATCTTCCTCAGGAAGCACGGTTGCCGGCGCCACAAGCGGCTTGACACTAGAAGGGGCTTCTCATGAAGCTGCTCCACCGTCACAGTGACGCCCAAACAAAATGCCACCGCCATTCATTATTAAGTGCGACTACACACAATTTGAAAAAAGGCTCTTCGAGCTACAAGCGTACCTTGGACTGGTCGACCGAGACTGCGACTAGGCGCTACCACTGGCACAAGTGGCTGCGAGACAGATTGAAGACTCAGAACACAGACTACAAAAGCCTTAGACCTTGCAAGAGACCTACACTAAATCCTCAACAGCTTGGTACGACGCATGTTGTGCTTGTTGATTCACGTGATGCCCCAGTATCATCCTCGTAGCGGTGGGCCCCGCAGACGTGGCAAACGGTCTGGCGCACAGGAGAAGGAGAAGAACTACGACTGCCCAAGCAAGACCAGGCAAGGAGGAACTGATTGTGTGCTACGAGGGAGAAGATGGACATGGGCATGATGGAGACCACCTGGAGGAGGACTGGAATGACTATATACACTGGAGCGACAACCGACTGCGAATATGCCGCCAACTACATGGAACACGGTCTATGCGGCCGTGGCGTTTCGTAGCATTTGTCACACACACACACGCAAATCGCTTTTCTCCGGGTCCAAAGTTTAACTTCTCGTGGGTAGCAGGACAACTGAGACCCTACTACTTGCTAGAGGATATGGAGTGGGTTTCAGCCCGCGACACCGCACCATCAAAACGCTACGCCGTCCGAGTCCACAAGCGACCATGCAAAGCACCCTTTAATTCACACAACAGCAGTTGCCCAATATCACAAGCGCAACAAGATGACTGGAACAACTACAACAGAACACCAGACACGCAAACAAGAGCGGCAAAGAAGACTCGAAGGTGATGGCTGGAAGAAGAGTCGCACCCCACATTGGCTAAAATCCAAGACTACACCAACACGACAAAGCCCTTCGCCACAAACTACAACGAAGACAGCGCCAACAAGACCAAAGCTTCAACTACGGACTCAGCAAATGATCTGGAGACCCAAGCTCGCACCTTCAACAGGCATCGACGCTACACAACCACAGACGACAACACATCGACCGCCAACAACTCAAGAAGACTGCCGAGACTACTGGGAAAGACAAGGTGAACACTGGATAAGTCACCGCGCAACCAGTACGAAACACGCTTTTCACACCTACAGATGGACCAGGACATTCGCCCATCAACACACTTGAGCCTTGTAGGACTACAATCTGTAACGACAACAGCTTCGGTGCAGTTTCGCAAGGGAAAGACAACTGGACAGTCGCACGCGGGCCCTTTCGCTGGAAAGGTGCCACAAGATTCACCATCGAGAAAGACTACGAATATCCACAAAAAAGGCACAACAAAAAACAACACTACGAACACCGCAGGGCAGGTTGACTACGACAACCGCAAAAACCAACGCCGCAGCAAATAGCAGAACTCTACGTAACACACCTACCTGACACCGCAGCTGGCACAAGCAGCAACAAGCACTATAACCCAGTGATCAAGTAGACAACAAGTTTCGAAGACCGTACCAGTTCTAACAGCAATTGATGTCACTACGCAACTGGCACCGGACAAGGCGTCAATGATGGACTGCATGGTCAACAGCCTACAAGCATTCGTTCTTGAGCGCATAAGGACACAAGGCATACTACACCCTGTCGCAGAAGTCGATGCGTTGGTGTTTCAAAGTGTGTGTTCCAGTGGGTTTCGATTTCCGGGAAGTCCCAGCGATGTTGCGTCCAGGTTGTGTTTCGCATTGGATCCTGGATTGAAATCCCAAGCGTCGCCCGGGAAACGTTGAATGCTCGATGTGCGTTTCCCAATGGGATTTGATATTGGCTCTGCCTGTGCAGCTCTGCTTGCGCAGCTCTGCCTGCATAGGTCTGCGCTTTCCTTGCGCAGCTACGCTTGCCTCTTTTTCTTTCAGCGTTGGCTGTCGTCAAAGCAACCACGCCCATTCCAAGACAAGTTTGGGCCTCGTTCACCACCTCGTTCACCACCTCCCTCACTACCTCGTTCAACTTGTTTTGCAAATCAGGAGTTTGCGCTACCCAAGACTTGCTGTTCGTGCCCCGCCCAAGTGCGGTGTGGAAGAAGTGAGGAGGGCAAATAGCCAGCTGCGCACTGTCTCCGAGTGTCCTGTTGCCACACCCTTTACCCTTTCACACGGTTGCATTCTGCAAAGGGCATTCAGGTCTCAAAGCAGAGTCCGTTCAACTTGGAAACAGTTACAACATACACACGCTTCCTGCGCTTGTTTGCTTTACATGTTGCGTCCCCATGGGCATTGCCGGTACCAGACGCTTGTTTCCATTCGCAATTTGGTATGTTTCGCATGCTGCGTCCCATTGGGGTTCGCGGTTCACTGACTTGTTTGACTTCCTGAATGCGTGGCGTCCCATGCAGATTCTGCCTTGGCCCCAAGATTGTACTGACTTTTGCGATTGGGTGCACAAAGCGACATCGACGAGGACACGATAAACGCGCTACCCAAAGCAACAGCGTCCGATGATTGAACGATTGCGCAAAACACTTCTTGGACAGATACGCGTCGTTAAGCGCAAGCTGAAAGCAACTACAGCATGACAATGTCAACAAAGCACTGTCTATGACAAGCAGCGTGGGCAGTCAGTCGCTACATCGTCCACTCCGACGGCTACACTATGAAACTACGAATGCGCAATTTGCGAATTCGGCGAGAAACACTACTTTCACCTTCAACCGCAACACAATGGACTACCAAAAGCAGACCATTGAATGCAGAAATGCATTTGGCTTGGAAGAGTTTCTGAAACTGGAGAAAACTACCTCGCAACGCGCCAGCTACAACCGGACCTCAAGTACGACCTCGCACCACTGAACAAGGTCACTGGCAACCCTTGGCAACACTTGCGACCCGTCATTCGCGACACTACTCGGCGAATTTGTACGAAGCAGAATCGTCGCAAGGTGTTGCGCTGCGAAAACCTAGGCCTCTACACCAATGCCCGCAACACTATCGCACTACAGATGTCATGACCAAATTGGGTTGCGAGACTCGGTGATGTTTCCACAGCACTTCTACATACATGCCAAGACCGAGGTCAAACAACGTGACACCTACGTTTGGCCACCTAATTTGGGAACTATGTCCACAACAAAACATGCCGACTGGACAAAGCCATCTACGGACTTTGAAGTTCACCTAAGGCTTGGCAAGACTACTAAGTGAGGTACTACAAAAGCTCGCCTTTGTAAGACTTAAGTCAGGACCAAACGTCTACAGCAACGCCGCTAGCGACTGCTAGATCATGACTCGTGAGTCTTACCCCAGTAGCAGTGTGGTTGCAGCCTGCCAGATGAAAGTCATCAGCATACCCGCCAAGCCGCGCCTTGTCTGCGCCCTGAAGAAACGCTCTGAGGGCAAAAGAGTTTTGGCCCAAGCGTCGACGCCACGTGCTTGGGTTTGGACCATGTTAGGGCCGCAATATTCATCATTGTCATAGAGAAAGCAAGGCGCCGCGCAGCCCATGAGGAGAGACTGGCTTTCCCAGAAACCCGTTGAATTTGAATCAGCGCTTCAGGCTATTGCGCGTGTCTTTCATTACTGCAGCAATAGCCGAAGGGAATTTCAGATTTTCAGCCAGCGTCCACAAAATTCCATCGCTTCCCAGCGCAAGCGTGTCAAAAGCTCCGGACAAATCAGACGCAGCGCCAATAACTTTGGTGCCTTCCAGACTCTGGAACGTTACAGGGCACATGGCGCAGTACTTGCATCCATTAACGAGCAACCTTGTAGCTGTGTTCTTGCCAGCGAACGAGCTTTTCCTGGGTCGAATTGCTGAGTAGATTCTGTGCAGCCAGCTGGGAACCGGTGTCGGACGCGTGCCCTGATAGGTGAGGGTTCCACCAGTGTTCGGGACCAATGCGTTGTCTCCAACAAGTGGTACGGAAGGCGCAATGCTCGCCGTTTCCATGTTGAAATGATGACCCGCTGATCAAACAAAGGGGCGGCGAGCGCCGTCAGCCGCTGGCACGTCTCCAGTCGTAGAGGTGCTTCTGCAGAGTGGCTTGCTTTGCGGCGGGTGGCTTGCCCATAGTAGCTCGCGCAAAGTGACTTGCGAAAGAGTGACTTGCGCGGAGTGTCTTGCGTAGAGCGGCATTCGTGAAGCGCCTTGCACGGAGTGTCTTGCGCAAAGTAACTTGAGCAGAGACGCAGAGCAATTTGAAATTTGCGCAGCGGGGCTTGCTCAGCGTAACTCGAACAAGCACAAAATGGCGAGCGTAGAATAACTTACGCAACGTGACGTCTGCGGAGTGGCTTGCCCGGTGTGCCTTGCCACTTGCACACAGGGTCCTTGGTTGAGAGAATTTACTTTGACTTAAAACTGTCTTAGCTTGGGGAGTTTTACGTGTTTATTTTGGTTTGCTGGGGGTGCTTTAAAAAATGCCTTGGCGTGGCAAAAGCAGTGTAGACTCTCGATTGACCTTGCTTTCTACTAGGTATGCTCCAAGAAAGCTGGAAGACGGCAGTTTCTAGCCAATCATGCGCCTATAGGAAATCAATTGCTTGGAGCATCTCTTCTCTTCTCTGCTTTCTCTTCTCTGAGCATCTCGTGTCTTTTCTTCTCTTCCTCTTTTTCTTTCTCTTCCTCTTTCGCTCGCTTTTTTCCCTTCCATGTTTCACGAAAACTGGCACGAGGAAGCGGACAGCCTGGGCTTCAATGAAGCTTAATAAGACGCTACTCGAAAAGTTGAAAATAGCTAGAGTCGTGCAAACAAAGAGAGAAAGTAAGCAAGAAACACAAAGAAGAAATACAAAGAAGGAGATAGAGACGGAAGGAATTGTGTGGCAGGCGCAGCCTATTGCGTTTGGCGACAGGGATTGTGGGACAATTTCGGAAACATCACGCACAGCTTCCCGAAGTTTACAGTTTTACTTTTGGCAATTTTGGAGTTTACTTTTTTTGAATGTTTTTCATGAGGCCAGAAGTTCTCCTTTTTACTTCTCTCTTTTCCCAGTAGAAGCAAACAAGTACAGGTCAACTGTTCGGACACATGAGAAGCAAAACAATACCAGAAAGTACGTCTGGCAGTTTTTTCATGGCAACTTTTACGCTTAGAAGGGGAATATACATAAATATATATTGAAAGAGACTGCCTGAAGCAAAACAACATTCACTTGCCGGAGCTTGAAAACTCGCGAGCGCCTAGATTTTGTGGGGATAGCACCTCCATCCAGCCACATATAAAGAAGTGAAAACATGTTTATATCAGAACAGGCATAGACAATGCACGCAGTTTTGACTTGCTTCTGGATGACAGCTTTGCATTTTGGGCCTTTCGTGCGAGGAGCAAGTCCGGCAAGCAGCGGGTGAAGATCCAATTGTCCTACAACCCCCGGAAATTGGGGAAGTATTTCATGCTGTCCATCCACGAGATTCTGGATGATCCCGAGTTTGGCCGCTGCGCTCAGCTTGGTTCAAACCTTTTTGTGCTTGTTTTCTTTGGCGTGTGTGTGGAGCGCATGTTTCCCTTGTTTGGCTTTGTTCTGGACTTGTTCGTATGAGTTAATGATATATTAGTTTGTTCATCCGTTGTGTTTGTGCTTTTGGTTTCCCATGGTCTGGCTGAACATTCGCCTAATGAAATGGTAGTGGCAGAACATCTTTGGACCCTAGGCTTGGGGAACAGTGGTATTCAGCTTTGAGTTTGAACGGATAACCTACCAGATGTAGTGTTGCGTCTGCCCCCGCTGATGTTTGAACAACCTATGGTCAACATCACCAGCGCCGCCAATGTGTTCCGGATGGCCCGGGTTGATGGCCCAGTTGCTCCTGAAGCCAAATTGGACAGTTGAGAGTCCAGCAACCCTGCATAATGTCCATCCGTGTCCACACATCACCCCTCCTTAGTGGTTTTCAGCCACCGCCAAACCACCAAGCTGTCGAGGGCAACAGTCATAGGCATAGGTGCACCAAGCTCTGAAGACTCACGACACTTGGGAGAAGTAGATAGCGACCCCCAAGCAGGATGATGGAACACACCCGCTGAGACAGGATATTTTTTTGGAAGAAGGCAATACGTTTGTGGGAGCAAGCGGGCGTTGATTTTGTTTTCCAAGCGGGTGGCCCCAGGGCGTGAATCGTATCACACCAAAAACTTACCATGTCTCAACCCAGGGCGTGAATTCAGCCTCGACATGGTCCACGTCCAAGTGGGTTGGCGAACTTCCTTACATGGTTCTATGTGAGTTTGAGGTGGGAACTAGCACGAATGAAGTTGGCCCCTTGAAGCTTACATGGTGAACCTTCAGCCACCGCCTCAGCTTATGTTTTGGAAAACCCCTATTCGAGCTTCAAAAACGCAGGGCGCTTTGGGGAAAGAAGAAAGTGGGTGGCCTCCTCAGGTCTCCTGCTGCCACCGGATGCGCGTTTCTTGCTTGACGGCCCTCCCATGCCTTGCACCCAGCAGGGCTGGAGCTGGAGGCGCGGGCGTCGGGCGGTTGAGGCGAGTGGTGGAAGCTGTGTTTTACTGTGTAGTATAGTCATGTGGGAAATTGCGGGCCTTCGCTGTCAGACCCGGTCGAGAGATCACGGCTTAGCTTTGAGCGCCATTTAGTTAGCTCCGGTATGAAGATCTGGTGAAAAGAAGGGTGCCAGGAGGCCCACTCTCTTATCAGGAGCTTCTTGAACAATGAGAATCGGAGTTGAGTGTTTTCTCACTTTCCTGCGTCAGCGCTCGGGGCTGTGACAATTTCTTCCTACACCTTTACACCAGCGTCTTCAACCATCGCCTAGAAGGCAGCGAGTTCACGTCTTTCACTTCCAAGTTCGAGATCTTGCGGAATGCAACACGCAAAGCGCTGTATATATCGGTATATATTCAGGCACTGCAAGAAGCAAGCATGACAAGACAGCAAAGACATCAGGCGCAAGAATGAATCCTACGCCAAACGTACGCCCACTGCAAAGGCTGTGGTTGAAAAACAAAATATGGGATACCAGAAACCATGAAGGCCATGAAGGCATAGTTTCAGCTTAAGGAATTCAAGAACAAGTTACAACAAACATGCTGGAATCACAATGAGGAACAACTCTTAGACTCTTCGGCGCCTGCAGCGTGGACAACTCGTTCCGAAAAGATGCCACACTCCTGGACAGGTGTGCGAAAAGCCACACTGCTTCCCTCCCATCCACATCAATGGCAAAGACCAACCAACATGATCACAGCCTTTCCGTGGAATGCAAACAAAAAGAAAAGCCCAGGCGCTTGCCGCCGAGAGCAACTGAGCCGCTTGAAACTCCGCTTCTTCCGCGAAACCCGGCGATGCCAGTAAACCGACCTTGGATTTAGCAATTCGGTTTTGCTAAAAGTCCCCCCACCCTCAAGGCGCTGGAAATGAGAGGTGTCGAAGGGACCGCAATAACTCACATGTCGCACACGTCTATGCCGAGTAGTGGATGTCCCTGTTCATTGCCAAGGTTGGTTGGTTGGCGTAAGAACTGCCCTGGTTTGCATCCTTGCCACTGTGCTTTGGAGCCTTGTGGACTTTTTTGCACAGTCGGAATTGTGACCTTTCCCTGCACGGCCCATATATGGACACTTTGAGAGGGTTGCTGAAATGGCCAGGCTTTAGGGTCTTCCGGATTTTTGGCCTGGGTTTAAGGCTTTTAGGGCCCTGGGATATGCTTCTTGGCTTGAAAGTTGTTTCCAAACACTCCGCGACGCAGATGCAACTCGAGCACATTGGTGGCTACCCAGCAGTGCCAACCGCGCGTTTTTGCTACGTTTTCCGCATGTTTGAGGTCACGGGCAGCGCCTAGTACTTTTCGGTCTTTTTAGGGCGTGCGCAAAAACGCACCTCGAACTTGCCGAGTTTCAGTTGTGTAGCTGTTGATTGTCCATGGCAAGCAGGGCGTTTGCTTAGCAAACCTGCGGCTCAACAACTCGAACTTTCTGTGTGCCCAAAGTGGCCTTTTTGGAAGGCATTGCGGGCGCCGCAGAAGTCTACCAACTTTGAAAAATTATGCCGTGGAAAAATGCTTGGGTTCCCCTTGAAAAGTTGCAATGGTTTCCTCCTGGAGGCTCAAACTAACCAAAGGACATCGAGGAGTGTCTGGCGGTGATTCTTTGTGCGAGGGTGGAAAGTTCGCTGCTGGAGAGGGTCCATGTGGTGGTATCTAACCAACCACCTTCTTGAGGGCTGCTAAATGCAACTGAAGAGCTTCCTCCATTCGTCGGCCCAGGTTGGGCTTGTGCGGCAAGCTGCCCACAGCCATGCTGCAACTGGACACCTGGCAGCCCGAAGTGTCCCACGCGCAGATCTTTTTGAGGTACGCGCGCAATGCGTCTTGGGTTTAGGGTGAGATCTCTTTGTTTGAGTGTGTTGTGTTGTTCTGGTCGATTGGTGTGTTTGTGTGCTTATAACTTTATGTTGTTGACTATTTGTTGCACTTCTTGCCAGGTGCGAGCGTTGTCAATGTTTTTTGGGCTGGGTGTGATGCATTCTGTTGTGATAGCTGTGAACTTCTTTGTGACAAGTGAACTTTGCTGATGAGCTTGTGGGGCCGGTATTTTCCTTTCCGGGTATGAGCTGTGTTGTCTGCGTTATGGTTCAGATTTGTGGTTTCACTGAGCGCCACGGGATTTCGGCCACTCAACTGAGCTCAGATGACACTCTTCCCGCCGCGCGTGCTGGACTTTGAGGTGCAGTACAAGGATCCAGACTGGGTGCTAGTGGTTTGTTTTTCCAGACCTTCCACGCAACACCCGGCAGAGTTGCGTTGGCAGCACTTTACCAGCACGTTTGCTTTAAACGGCATAGCTGAAAGTTGTTCCAATCGATGGCTTTGTGTTGGACATCTCTTGAGGAGGGGATGGTTTTCACTTTGTGATAGTTCGAAGATTTGTTTCGCAGTGAAAGCAGAGGCAGGACCTTTCTTGAAGAATAGCTTTGGGAGCTTCTAGAAACCAACACCTCAACTTATGGCCAATCAAAGCCTGTTTAGGGGGAGCAAGGCTTTCAAGTTGTGGGTGGGTCAGACTAAGGTTGAGGGTACTCTCCTGGGCTTGCTTCAAAGGGATACCAAGAGGAAAGACTGACCGTGTCTGGGCGAGTTCTTTTTTCGTTTGGGTCTAGTCAGAAGAGGGAACAAATTGAAACAGGCTTCCTGCGGCGAGGACCCCCTCTCCGGCCAGCATTCAGTCGTCATAGCTGCGACGCAGCAGAACCCCAGCTTTCAGTGGGGGCAAAGTGCCCGTTGGGTTCGCCCCTTCCGGCCACAAAGCATCGATTCAATGTTGACCAATGCGAAGAAAGGCGTGAGCCGTTGTTTTCAGGGTTGCTTTGGCTCAACCAACATGTCCTGTTCTCTCTGTTGTCGCGTTACTTACTGTTTGTATTTTGCATGATGTCTCGTTTACCCAAGTGAACCGTAATAACCTTCAATGCATGAGTGTCTCACTGGCGCAGCCTTACTCTATTGGCTGCAGTTGGCCCAAGACAAAGTAGCCGGCTTTTGCGCAGAATCGCGCGCCATGAGGGTGCCGATCCTGGATATTCCCCTGCCGAGGTAAAGCCAACTCCTGATGACAACGGGAACAATGACGATTCGCAGTAGCAAATTCACGAGTGGCCAGAGATTTCATCAGGAGGGCGGACAAGTGCAAGGCAGTCATCCCTATGCCACTTCAACCAGACGAGTGTACATCTCGATCCACCATTAAGAAGGACAACACCTACCAACAGATCAATGCGACACAGAACAGCGCTTGAGCAGCACAGTCAGGCTCAACCCGGTTGCGCAGACTCTCCTGGAAAGACGACGACGGTCCCGCAATGCGTCCAACAACATCTCCGCCCAGCATTCCTGCACCAGGGGCCAGGAGATGGCGATGGCGATGGTGCTGGCGGCCAAGCTCGTTGGTACTACACCAACGGTCTATGTGATTCCGACCTTGGCTGCCTTTGTGCAGGCCTAGCTTGCCAAGCCAGGAGAAACAAAGGCAGTTCCATCGGTGAAATGCAACGGTTGCAAAGGCCCCGATGGATTCGTCGCATGCCACAGATTGCTCATACCTCACGAAGCCTAACTTTAGAGCCTCCGGCTCAGTCCGCCGACATTGTCCTCTCCCTTTTCTCTCTGTCTCCCTTGTGTGTTCTGTCGTCCTCTCTCCCTCCCTCTGCTCCCATCCTCCCCATCCCCCCAAGCCTCTCTCTCCCCACTCTCCCTCTCTCGTATGGTGCTGGCGGCCAAGCTCGTTGGTACTACACCAACGGTCTATGTGATTCCGACCTTGGCTGCCTTTGTGCAGGCCTAGCTTGCCAAGCCAGGAGAAACAAAGGCAGTTCCATCGGTGAAATGCAACGGTTGCAAAGGCCCCGATGGATTCGTCGCATGCCACAGATTGCTCATACCTCACGAAGCCTAACTTTAGAGCCTCCGGCTCAGTCCGCCGACATTGTCCTCTCCCTTTTCTCTCTGTCTCCCTTGTGTGTTCTGTCGTCCTCTCTCCCTCCCTCTGCTCCCATCCTCCCCATCCCCCCAAGCCTCTCTCTCCCCACTCTCCCTCTCTCGTATGTATGCATGCATGTACATATGTATGTATGTATGTATGTATGTATGTATGTATGTATGTATGTATGTATGTATGTATGTATGTATGTATGTATGTATGTATGGAATGTAATGTATGTATGTATGTATGTAATGTATGTATGTATGTAATGTAATGTATGTATGTATGTATGTATGTATGTATGTAATGTATGTATGTATGTATGTATGTAATGTAATGTAATATAATGTAATGTAATGTAATGTAATGTAATGTAATGTAATGTAATGTAATGTAATGTAATGTAATGTAATGTAATGTAATGTAATGTAATGTAATGTATGTATGTATGTATGTATGTATGTAATTAATGTAATGTATGTATGTATGTATGTATGTATGTATGTATGTATGTATGTATGTATGTAATGTATGTATGTATGTATGTATGTATGTATGTATGTATGTATGTATGAATGTAATGTATGTATGTATGTATGTATGTAATGTATGTATGTATGTATGTATGTATGTATGTATGTATGTATGTATGTATGTATGTATGTAATGTATGTATGTATGTATGTATGTATGTATGTATGTATGTATGTATGTATGTATGTATGTATGTATGTATGTAATGTTATGTATGTATGTAATGTTATGTATGTAATGTATGTATGTATGTATGTATGTATGTATGTATGTATGTATGTATGTATGTATGTATGTATGTATGTATGTATGTATGTATGTATGTAATGTAATGTAATGTAATGTAATGTATGTATGTATGTATGTATGTATGTATGTATGTATGTATGTATGTATGTATGTATGTATGTATGTATGTATTATGTATGTATGTATGTAATGTATGTATGTATGTATGTATGTATGTATGTAATGTATGTATGTATGTATGTATGTATGTATGTATGTATGTATGTATGTATGTATGTAATGAATGTATGTATGTATGTATGTATGTATGTATGTATGTATGTATGTATGTATGTATGTATGTGTGTGTGTGTGTGTGTATGTAATGTAATGTAATGTAATCTAATCTAATGTAATGTAATGTAATGTAATGTAATCTAATGTATGTATGTATGTATGTAATATGTATCTATGTAATGTATGTATGTATGTATGTATGCATGTATGTATGTATGTATGTTTGTATGTAATGTATGTATGTATGTATGTATGTATGTATGTATGTATGTATGTATGTATGTATGTATGTAAGTTATGTATGTATGTATGTATGTATGTATGTATGTAATGTATGTATGTATGTATGTATGTATGTATGTATGTATGTATGTATGTATGTATGTATGTATGTATGTATGTAATGTAATGTATGTATGTATGTATGTATGTATGTATGTATGTATGTATGTAATGTATGTATGTATGTATGTACGCATGTATGTATGTATGTATGTCTGTAATGTATGTATGTATGTATGTATGAATG